TTTAAGACTGTATAATTCAACTTCAAATGCACCAAAGGGACACGATGTAATCATATACAATAGAGAAAACCTGACCATCTGCTGCTGGCTTTCAAAGAGAGAACACTGGGCAAAGCAAAATTTCTGTCCCTGTAAGCTCACCGTTGGATCTTGAGACATTTCTCTAGCCCGTCAATTATATCATCTAAGATTTGTGAAAAGTATCTCAGAACATGTTCCATGGTATAATAAGTCCTGGTGTGAGTTGTCAGAAAAGGGGCTCTCCAGGGTTCTGTGCAATGCTAGATTTAAGGTCTGTGCTCTTATCTCTTCACGCTGATTCTTTCTCACATGGTCAGAATAGAAGAATCTCTTCTGAGAGCATGATCCTCCACACAAATTGTTGCTGGAATTGTATAAGCTGGAACAGGAGTGGAACTTTAGGGAACATCTTGTGCTAGTTACTTTTCTCTTTGCTAGAATCAAATACCTGTCAAAAACAACTTGAGGGAAGAGGCCTTATTCTTGCACAGCCTCAGGGTACAGCTGTCATGGTGGGGAAGGCATGGCCTATGGAGGGTTCTTGGATGTGGCTTCAGGAGTGTGAGGCTGCTCACTCACACCAGGGTAGATCAGAAAGCAGAGAAAAGGAAAATCGGTTACTCAATTGGCCTTCTTTTTCCCTTTTTTTTTTCAGTCTAGGACCCCAGCTCATAGGATGGTTTTACTCACTTTCAGGGTGGTCTTCCTCCTCAGTTTATCCTTCCTGGAGATGCCCCCATAACTATACCAAAGCTGTGTCTCCATCCAGTCAAGCGGACCATGCAAATGAATGGTTATATATCTGTTGAACAGAGATATGCCACTGGCTCTCGCCTACCCTTGCCTGTGGACTCTGGTTTCACAAATCAAACTTTATTTCTCTTTTGTGGGCCTCTCCAGGTTTTCTCAGAAGGTGTCATGTTTGGTATTATTCTGCTGCCTCAGGTGCCCTGTTTTTCTCGATGTTCTGTGCTGGTGCCCTGCTTGCTTGTAGGAACAGTGCTCAGGATACTTAGAAAAGGTTGACTGTGTTTATAGCTGGAGGAAGAATTGTGTCCACACCCTTGGAAATCGTGGAGAAATGCTCGCTCCCCCCACCTGCTCTCAAATGTGCTGTTTTTCTGAAATGTTCCTGATCACAGTTGGAGATGTGGCACAACTTTGATAATAGAAGGCAAGCACATGGCCTATATCAACAATTCTTGTTGAGAAGGAAATTAGACTAGAAATATTGGCATTGCACAAATAGTCCCACTTTTGATACCAAATGTAGTACACTCCAGTTTCTGTTAGGTTTTAAACTTCAAATGCTGTGAATTAAATTCTAGGGCCACTCAGAACTCTACAGTATTCAATTGGTCTCTGTTTGATAAAATCACTCCACCATAAACGGGGACACTTGTTTAACTTCAGATTTATGATGTCATACTCGTTGGAAGCCCTGCTATCGAATATTATCTCTAGGCTTTATATGTTGTCCCTTTTTCAACACATTCTAGGTGCTGTCTGGAAATTGTGGTCTACAATTTCATTCTCTGTGGGACACACGCTAGTTTGTATTTTCTGAGCTCACCCACTCAAACCAGAACAAATTTTTGCTGTTAAAACCCATTATATTTGTACAATCTGCCTTTCTCAATCTTAAAAAAGAGGCAGAACGCACATGTTTCCACAGTGTATAATCATTTCTCATAAATACAAATACTTTGGTAGATTCTGTGTGTTCAACAAATACATATTTATTGGCTCATTCTCCCAAAGCTCTTGGAAAAAGCTAAAGATTTTGATCTGAGGCTATGGATGTGATTCAGTTGGTAGGATGCTTGCCTAGCATGCACAAGGCCCTGGGTTCTATCCCCAGTACTGAATAAAAAGAGTGCGGTAGCCTATAATCCTGGAACTCTGGAGGTGGACACTGGAGGAGCAGAAGTTCCAGAATTATCCCTCATCTACATGCCAAGTTAGAGGCCAACAAGTTTTATATGAGACCCAATTTCAAAAAAATTATGATGTAGACAAATTTATTGATCTTAAAAGAGGGTTTCAATATACCAGCTATGAAATGCCTGTCCAAAAACCCGTATGAGTACTCTAATAACATTTTATAAATTGTTCATGCATGAATTTGTTTCTGTTTCAAGTGTACTTGTAATATACTGTGTATCCTTGGACACAGAGAAAAAGCTGGAACTCTACATTAGTGAAAATACTTATGCTGGTTATTGGTGGGACTTTTACTGATTCTGTTACTTGAGGTCCCCCCCCCATCTATATTATCTAATTGTTCTGAAGTAAACAGTTTAATTCTGTCTCATTGTATTAGGGAGCAGGTGGGGGAAAGGACAATACAGTACAGGTACTACTGTTCAGATCAATTGTAAAAATCTCCCCACTCTCTCATCTTGTTACAGGTATGAAAACATGTGAAGCCAAAGGATAATGGAGGCTTTTGTTTTCATTAAGCCTCTCCTATGTGTGGAACACTGTAGTAAGCATTCACAATGATATACACAGCTGGTATTATTATTACCATCTACAAATGAAGAAAGAGCTCAGAGGGTTTCCATTGCTGGAATCACACAGCTAGGGGGCGCAGAGCTGAAGACTCGCTGGACTCTGACCTTTGCTTTTGTGGCCTTTATCAGTCTTCTGTAGACATACTGTCTATCATTAAGATAAAATAATACAATATTTTAAATTTTTTTAAATGCTATTAGAATATGAGTGGATTCAAAAGCATTGCTTTTAAAAGATTGACTCGGAGGGGTTCCCAGTGTATACCAGTGTTTACTGCTTGTATTTTCATATTTTTATGGCCATTTTTCATATCAGACTGTGTTCTTCTCAGTAGTCAGAGGCTTAAATGACCTGACCTGTCCTGGGATAATCTGACAGCATAGTGGGTGTCACCTGAACACACTGGACTTCTCTCTGGGATGCTGAGACAGGTCCTTAGGAGTCAGAGAATGTGCTTTCAGGATGGTGGGACATCCTAGGCAGGAGACTCTCCACATGACCCCAGGGCCTCCCTGGACATCTGCTGCTATTTAGGAAACTGGAGGGGAAGAGCTGATTTTTCTCCTAGCTGTTAGGATGGACTGCAGAGACTCGGGATGGTGGGAAACATGCTTGGGATCTCGGATAGCTCTGGTGTCCATTCATCCTCGGCCAGCAAAAATGTCATTAAAGACTCTGGAAACTTTTGAAAACTCAGCTATCAACTGAGTTCATCTGTAATGTAGCTGAAATTCTTCTGCTGTAACTTTGGATCCGCCTCCATCCTTCAACCTTCCTCTTTCCAACACTCACATCATCTCTGTTCTTTCTCACAGCTGGTTGGACCAGCCAAGGTCTCAGATCCTGTGGCTTCTGCATGACATCATTCAGTGGGCTTGATAGGAGGCTTCCAGCGCCTGTCACCAAGTCTCTGTTCCCATGTGAGCCTAATTACAGATGACTGCGGGTAACAGGCCTGTGGGTGTGTCATTTGAGGGAAGAACAAAGTACAGTGAATGAGGGTCTTCTGGTAGACATTGAGGACAGGACATTTTAAAAGACCTGCCTCCAAAATTGTTTCCCAGCTACCACACTGTCATGAGAGTCACATAGCCCGTGATAAATGAATCATGTACATCATGATTTTCTACATATTCATTGTTGAAAGCTGTTTTTAAATTCATGTAGTCAAACACACATCAGCTGTGTACCATACAGACCTACTAAGTACCCCCTCAGGCCTCCCTACCTGTGCCAATTTAGCAAATGGATTTCCTATTGTTTTCTTAAATCTTTTATCTTCTTTCTCTTTCAGTTTTCCAAAGAAAATAGACCAAAACTTTCTCTGTGAAAAGAAACCGACCTGCTGTTGGCAGAGGGTGAGTGAACCTTTATACGCACCATCTTTTCTGTCCACCTCAGAATGTTACCCAATACCTCGAGGCTCTAAGAACAAGTGCTTGTTAACAGTGGTGCTCTGGAAGTTTCCCCAAGCTTGCCCTTTCTATTCTTCAACTGCTATGACTGGGTCTCTTAGACAAGATGGTTTTGCTCATAGATTTTTTTCTGCAGCTTATTGCTGTTCCCGTGTTCCCTCACATGAACTGTGCACATGGTTACTGTTACCTTGTCCAGCTCACAGAAACGCTAAGAGAAGAAACTTTCCTTCAGCGACTAGTGCACAGAAGAGATAAGGCCACAGGCAAAGGGAGCCTTTCACATGGCTGCACTGTCTCATGAAAGTTTTGATGAAAAGTAAATGAATCTGCGCAGTCGACGGGACCTTCCAGCATGTCTGGGAAAATCTCTGTGTAGAGATATGATACCCAAAGGGCTCTGAGGTGCTTGTGCATCACAGACAGAAGCAGAGCCAGGAGTGTGAGACAGCATTTGACGCCTAGCTGCGTGGTCCTGAACAGAGCTGAGTTTTTAACCCACAGTTTCTTTCCAAGGGTGTAGATTTATTTAGGTGATTCAACATAAAAACAGTACTAATACTAGTGATAATGGTCCATTGCCATAAGGCAAATGTCAGAGTAGGGCCGTTTGGCTCTATAGTTGTCCTAGAATGGGTACACCCAGAAACCTTCTGATGTGGAGCCTCATTGGAATAGGCACGTGTTGTATGACTTTTCCTGGGGAGATGTGAACAGATGTCTACTCAGCTTAGAGATGGCACCATGTTAGATCAAAAAAGTGATTCCATATATACCAGCCTGGTGAACCAATGAGTTTATCGGTTCATAGGAACCTGGGGAAGGGTGACTTCCAGGAATATGGGTCACTTCCTGCATAACTTGCAAGCTGCTCCACTGAAGAGTGTCCCATCACTCAGCAATTGTTTACTGATTATATAATTTAATGAAGGGACTTGTGAACCTTGTAAGTTTAGTGAGTTTCCTGAGTCCTGAGTTTTCCTTCTCCCTCCTGAAGGGACTGTTTCAACTCAGAGGAAATTGTTGTACAGTTGCATGTTTTCTTTCTGTGCCTTCCGAAGCACTGCATTTTCAGGGCTGTGATGGCACTTGATGGACTGGATGATACATCCAGCTAGAAGCCTGGGTGCACCTGCAGGTATGTGCCAGCCAGCTGCAGACCTACCTCCCACCATCCTGCCAAGCTTCCTGAACTTGCAGAATAATGGCTGGTAGGACTCTGGCAGTACAGTGTCAATTTAGGCTGAAGTCATTGATACTTTTCTTTGCTAAGGAAAGAAGGTTGTGTTGGGTTTGATGTAAGAGTGCAGTCACGTGAGAAGATGAAGTTGGATATAAGAATATGATTCTCCACTGGAATCCCGGAAGGTGGGCTTGTCCTCGGGGCTTTCAACGAATACTGTGCTTGAACAGGCTCTGAATCTGGTTCATTTAGGTTTGTGAGCTGGGGACACTTATGTGCAAAACTTGGGTTTGGTCTAAATGAAGTTATAAGAGCCTGTATTGATTATCACAGCTTAGGCATCTTTCTTAACAAATTGAGGGTGCTCTTCTGAATTAACCGGAGTCATTGCTATGGTGCTTGGTATAGTGCTTTATCATTCATAGACATGCTCTGGTTCCCACCAATGTGCTAATGAGGATTTTAGAACATGGTTATTCACTGAGCAGCCACTTGCTTATTACCTTAATATCGAGCTCTCCTGTCCCCAGATGCTGGGTTCACACCAATGTGCATTTATTAGAAGTATGTGTTAGTTTTCTATAACCATGATTAAGTATCCAAGGTCATCAACTTAAAAAGAGGAAAGCTTTGTTTGGGTTTATAACTTTGGAGATTTTAGTTCATGGATGGTCAGCCATGTTGCTTTGACTTTTGCGCAGGCAGCACATCATGGAGGGGAACTAGTGGTGGATTAAGCTGCTCACCTCATGGTTATTTGGCAACAAATGAGAGCAACAGGAAGGGCCTGGGTCCAATTTCGCCTTAAAGGACTTGGTCCTGATGATTTACTTTCTTTCCAGTAGGTCCCACCTCTTAAAGGTTCCCATCTCCCAACAGCACATAGGATGGGGACCAAACCCTAATGAATAGGACCTTAGGGGACAGTCCAGCTCGAACTGTAGCACGATGTAGCTTGAAGACTTCCATATCCCTGACCATCTTAGCTGTTTCTATGACAAAATACCTGACCAGAGCAACTTAAGGAAGGAAGAGTTTATTTTGGCCCACAGTTTTAGAGGAGACAATCCATATGGTAGGAAAGCCTAGCGGCAGGAGTGTGAGACCTCTGGTCACATTGTGTCTGTAGTCAGAAAGCAGAGAGTGATGAACACTGGTGCTCAGATTTCTTTCTCTTTTTTATGAAGTCCAGGACCCCAGCCCATGGAAAGGTGCCACCTACATTCAGTGTAGCTCTTCCCTCCTCAGTTTAACCTTTCTAGAAATGTCCTCACAGACACACTCAGAGACGTGTCTCCTAGTCGCTTCTAAATCCTGTCAACTTGACAATCAAGACATACTCCTAGACTAGGTCACAATATAATGTGGATATGGTGGGCTATTGCCCTCAGAGGAATCTCAAAGGACTTCATAGAATCAGGAAATTAATTACACTAAACTTCAGAGAAAATTAAGAGCCTTAGGAAAGAGGAGAGATGCTGATCTTTATACCTGCGTTGTATTATTCTCTGGATTAGTGATGAAGTGGTAGAGAAGGGTCTGAGCAGAACAAAACAAATACACAAAAGAAGCAGGACCACCTGAACTCGTGCAGTGCATTCTGGGACTCGGTCCCAAGCTAGAGTTATAAGCAGCTGACGTTTATACTCAGGAGGGATCAAATTGCTATGTAAAATATCTTAAGTCACTTGGTTTTACCAATTAGAGGGAAACTAAACTCAAACTAATGCCATGAGGTAGGTTTTTTGCTGTGTTTATTTGTTTTCCCCAAAAAGAATTCTAGAGGCTGGGGATCATGTACAAGACCCTGTGTTCCAACCCCAACACCAAAGGAATCAAAAACAACCAAACAAAGCTCAGAGACTGATACCCAGGTGCATGTTAACCTTGAGTTTCAGGGTGTGAAGTGGGCTGGGGTCCTAGGACAGTGCTGCCCTTGATTCTAAGCTCAAACAGCACTCACCATGGATGGTATCTCTTTAAGGAAGTCTAGTTAAGTGTTCTTGCCAGTACTGTGATTTTATTTGATAGAAGCCCAGTGGCAGTGGCATGTCCTGGTTCCATAGCAAAATGTCTGCAGCCAGGAAAAAGGTACTGCCTATGGCAGCCGGTAGTGGATCCTGGGCAGGGTAGAGCTGGGGAATGGCTCTGGTACCCTTTACATTTACTGGCCTGCCGTCTCCACCTCTTCCTCTCCTGGGGAACAAAGTGTACTGGCTTGCTTTCTGCTACCAACACTTGCCAGTGTCCCCATCCAGTCTGGAACTGGTGAGAGAGAAGGCAATGCCCGTGAAACCTTCCTCAGGTTTGGGATGCGCAGCAGAGCTGAGAACCTCCTCACCTTAGCACTTGAGAGCAAGTGCAAAGTCTGTGCTCTGCTTCCTCCCTGCCTGTAGCGGAGCAGCTCTGTCACAGGGCCATAGCGGACAATGCACAATGCATTTCCTGTGTTACAGTCGGCTGCTCCTGGCTGGATAGTGGGCATCTACAAGGAGCTATGTGAGATCGAGAGAGAGCGAGAGTGAGCGAGAGAGAGAGAGAGAGCCAGTTTTACCTGCCACAGACTTGTGTCGTGGTGGTGCTAGGCAGCCTGTCTTCACAAAGAAATATGGTGCCTACTTCTCTCCTTCCAGAAGCTTCTTCCAGAAGCACAGACCCTAACTGCAGTTTCACGACCGCTGTGCCCTTAGTGCTTCCGCACGTCTCCGCCGTTGTCCATCAAATCTATTGGGAAACCATTGTAAACGTTCTTGCTTTGGCTGATGCTTTTCCCTCTAAACTCTGGAAGCAACAGGGTCCCCTACCGTAGCCCAGGCTGGCCGGCAATTTACTGTGTGGCTGTCTTCATGTTTTTTTCCCATTTCTGGGATAAGATACCCTGACAAAAGCAACTTAAGGTAAAAAGGGTTCATTTTAGCTCACGGTTTAGGATACGGTTCATAACAGTGAGGTAGTCAAGGCAGCAGGAGCCTGTGCACCACTAAAGTGCAATGAATGCCTGCCAGTGCTTACCTGGCTTTCTCCACTTACACAATTCAGGATCCCCTGCCCAGGGCTTGGTCCTACCCATAGTCAAGGTAAGTCTTCCCACATCAGTTAATATGATCAAGATTATCCCCCACAGGTATAGCCAGAAGCCCATTTCCTGGGAGATTCTACAATCTGTCAAGTTGACAATTACCACTCACCATCACAGTGACCCAGAATATGACCTCAAACTTGAGGATGTCCTATCTCAGCCTCCCAAGTCCTGGGATCGCACATGTGCACCACCACAGCCAACCTCTGGGAGAATTTTCAAAACTGTTTGCCATCAATTTGACACCTATCCTGCATGCTGTCTTTTGATAAATATGTCTTTGGGGTCCTGAATGTCTTTCTAGATTGAAGGGAAGCTTTCCAGCATTAGGAACCAGGCATCTTCTCTCTCTTTCTAAATTTCTCTAATGCCCAGAACTGAGCCCAGTGGATAATTCCCACGCCTACCATTTGCTCATGGTGATGTCATATTCTCTTCTTATCTCCCAAGGAAGTTGTGCTACAAGTGTGTAAATATATAAAAGTGTTTTTAATTTTTCAAAGAAAAGATAAATTTAAAAAAATTCTCTGAGTGTAATTTTTAAATGTAGATATAAAGTCACAAGATAGGAGTATCTAAGACGTCACTTCACATTTCCTCTTGTGGCTCCTGACCAGGAACTGGGGACTGTGTTTCACCCTGGCATGGAGATAATCTTCCCCCACTCCACCCACCAAAACT